TTCTAACGCATCTGAATATTATTCATTGTTTCGATAGCGCTCGTGAAATTTTGTGCAACAGTTATCGTTAAACGGAAGGTTATTCAGGATCTCGCAGTGACCAAATTGTATAGCGGTCACAAGCATTCTAACATCCGAAACTTTTGGAATCGACGATTTTGGAGCTGATTAGTAAACTACTTAATCACCAATACAGCTATCTTAAATAAAATGGGAGCCTGGATCAAGATAGGGACGACAGGTAGCTTGGAACCAGTTACAGAAGACAGAAGCACAAGAAATAGCTAAGGCGGAAACAAAATGGACATAAGATATTAGCACAAGATGTGCTGGATTTTTTATTAGGCAAATGGTACTTTTGTTCCTTTTAAACTGTGGACTGCGGGCTTTTGTGGGAGGAAAAGCTTACGGTATATTCTTTGTGTAGTTCGCCGCGGACCATGTCAATACAGAAAGTTAGTGAATTGGCCTTGAAAAATGCATTTTTATTATGTCGAACTTCACATTCATCGCGTTATTGTAGATACTGCATTTTTACAAAATGCAATCATTGGTTTTTTTTAGAGACTCACTTGGAACCCAACTGAATCTCTCGGTTTTGATGTTTCCAGGCAGCTGAATATGCCTCATGTTTCAGTCGCTACAATATTCGAGATATCGCGATACATATACATTTTTGTAATACACTACTCACAAGGTGGGCTGTCGAGGAGTTTTCAGCATTCTTATGAGTAGTGCATACTGCATTTTCATTCACAATTTTTCACTTGCATGAGCTGTATGCAAAAGAAGCTGATTGTTTTCACACGGAATTTTAGGAGAAATGCCAATAAAATGGAAATAAGGGATGGTTAATCTTTAAGCAGGTAATTGTTAACTGTTAGTCTATGTGCGAGATAACGGTGCTGCCCAGTGAAAACCGTTACTGCAACTAGCAACGTTTTTGCTTATGTTCGTTTGAATTTTTTATTTACTCCAGATCGTTCGGATTCGAAGCAGTTCACTTTTGATCATTCATATTGGTAAGTGTTGGTTTTATCGAATCTAGGCAATATGCATGCTTCTCAGTTCTTTCTTTTGTCAATCCATATTGCTGATTCTACGATTTAATTCATCTTCCATTGAAGCCTCATTGTAGGATGGCATCTAAGTTTTGCTCAGTCACTTAGTCTGTTTGTGCACTAAGTTTTTTTTCAAGCACAAAAATGGGTCTATATTCTGCCATCCTCACTACTACGTGGTGGAAAATCTTACGGTGTAGCGTCATCTTCCATTGTATCTTGCCTAGCTAGTGTCTCACAAAAGATGTATCACAAGAGCTGCAACCGCAAACCTATAGGATTAGTTCAACTGTACAAATATGAGCAAATACTCCATTGCACTGTTGAGGAAACCAGGCGTTTCATTGCAGCACATATATGTGCACCTTTCTTCTGGAAGCATTTTCCCTCCCTATGTTGGCAATCTGCAATAAAGTGCACCAAAAAACTTAAAAGGCTAGTGGGAAATCTTGAGCAAGTTAAGTTGGAAAGGCAAGTCCTAAATTGCTCAAAACCTGGATGAAATGTAGCAATTGCTACAGTGCTACCACCGAAGAGTGAAATGTCGCTGAGTTTTTCTTCCACACTGTTGTTTTTTGCTTTCTCGTTTCAAACGCTAGCAACCTCGTAATAGCCTGTTATTCTAGAATACCTGAAGACCACTTACGTTGGACATCGAAAGTTCAAGAGATGGAGAAGGCTTTTGTTACGGGAAACCGCCGTGCCCGATATCAACTCATACCATCGACTGGCTGTAAAAAAGCAGTGGTCAGTGAAACGATAAGTGAAAAAAGACGGCTGGTTAATTCACTCGCAAAAAGCGTCCACTGGAAAGATGGGTCGAACACTTCGAAGAACAGTTTAGCTGGCCTCCTGCAACCCATCCTGTGGAAAAAATGCATAAGTGCAAATGGAATGTACACATTAATAGCCCCTCACAGTAAAAAACAAAATACGGAATATCGGTACTGAGATGTATAAAGGCACCTGTACCAGAAGTTCTGTATCTAGCCGTCTTCAACTAAGGCGGATCCCTGGTGACCCATCTAACGAAGCTTATCGGTGCTATTTGGAGCAATGAAAGTGTACCTGCAGAATGTGGCATGTCGACAGCTATTCCCATCTTCAATCACGGTACGTGGGTGCTGCGTGAGGAGCAATGGCATCAGCTTGTTAGCTGTAGCATCGAAGAACCTCTGTGGTCATATCCTTTGAAGTTTAATTGAGCAGAGAGTTAGGCAGATCCGAGAAAACCAAGCTGGGTCCCCTTCTGTAAGAGGCTGTATCGATCACATCTTCACCCTCCGACAGATTCGGGAACAACCACACTGTTTATGGCAAACAACAATGGTTGTGTTCCTTGACTTGAGAGCTTCCCTTGACTCTGTGTACCGTTAGGCACTATGGGAGTGTATGTAAAGCAAAGGTGTCCTTCATAAATTCCTGATCCTTCTTAAGACGCTTTACCATAACCCCGACGGCCGTATGAAGGACCACGGGAAGCACTCGCTTGAGTTCAATACATCAGACAAGGATGTCCTCCTTCACCTTTCATCTTGAACTTCGTCATTGATACGATCATGGAAGACTCACTACCAGCCTCTTAAGTCTGTGGAGTTGAAGTTCATCCGGGGTGCCCACTCACAGATATCGAGTATGTAAAACACATAGCTCTTCTTGGGTCCAATGCTGTGATAATGAAAACAATATTAAATAATCTAGACAATTCTACCCCACGGTTTGGCATGAACTTCGCAGGTGCAAATTGCTACTGAATGACTGGGTAGAGCTGAATGAGCCTATTGATGTAGTACACAAGTTTATTTACCCGGGCAGTTGTACCAATGCTGGTGATCCCGCGAAAGGACATGTTTACATCCAGATTGGAAAGGCCAGAGCAGCTTCTGTGAACCTGCGTCATCTATGGCATAGTTGTGATATCAGCTTGTCCAACAAGGATCGAGTTTAAAATGTTGCGGTTGGATCCATATAGCTAATTGCAACATAAGCCTTACCGCTGTGTGCCAGGGACGTCAGGAGACTTTCAACGTTCGATCATCGATGTCTTCGGAGGATTCCTGGAGTTTGGTGGGAACAGTAGCTGAGCAATGCTGAGATACGTCAAATGGTTTTCGGAAGAAATATTTCACCCATGACGTGTGAACTGATCACACTGCATTGGTTGCGCTGACTTGGCTACGTGCTCCGTATACCAGTCGACCAACTTCCTCTAAGTGTACTTTTCGCACAACCATGCAAAGGGTGGAAACAAGCGGAGAGAGGTCAAACAATGACTTGGCAGCGAATTATAAAGAATATTACCAGGAGACTTAGCTGCTCTAGTAATTGCGGTCTCCATGGGTGTGCACTCCGAGACGGGCCACATAAATGGATAGAGACATTGTCAGATATGACCCAGTCGCGCCGTCGATGGCGTTGGTGCATTCAAGTTGTTACCCCCAATGACTAGCTTCCCTCCCACTCCCTCCACACAGAAGTTCACTGATAGCCCTGTATTTACACACCAATCTATCACCCTCCATCTCTAGTGCGCAGCTGCCTACTCCGTGGCCCTAATTCATCGGGGAACGAAACCGTGGTAGCTACAACTACTGTACAACAAGTGCGCGATTCTTACAGCTGATAATGAAGAACAGTGTGGGGAAGGGCTCCGTCATGAAAATTCACCACAATATCTCGAAAATTATGCCAACTGAAACCGAGCGGGAATTTGCGCACCTAAAGTGGATTTTGCGAATATCCGTTCATACTCAGTAATCTTGAATTCTTGGCAACAACCTCAATTTCTCTAGATTTGTGGCTTTTTATACATCACTTGTGGCTATACTGGTGAGATCACTTTTGATTGCACATCATCAGATCTCCTCAATTGGGAACATTGTTTGTGTTGTATAATCTTCTTTTTTTAGTTCCTTTACGACGTTTAGGGGTTTAATGTTCCTTGATTGGAATCAACCCTATTTGTATTCACTTATTTTTTGTCTACCCATAAGTGATTGTTGATGTGTTCCAAGCTTCTGATTGCTTCTGTAATTTACTCAAATTAATCTGCCATGAACGGTGGAAGTTCTCCCAGCTTTTTTGTTTCTCGTAGTTGTTTTGCAGCAAACCTTCAACTTCGAAGTTAGTATCCACTTGAACTGTTGTGATCTTATCAATATCAATCATGGGTTTATGTGGCGCTTACATGATGATGGCACTGTTACAGTTTATCTAATAAAGCTTCCTAGATACTTGTGAAAAATGAAGTCGAAACCCATTCCATGAACATATGATGGGGTCAATTATGGATCTTCTAAGCTTTTGTAAATACCTTAGCACTTGATAATACAGAACATGATAAAGCAGAAGACTGTCAAATCATGAGATGCCGATAGAACGGATTTACACTCAGCAGGATTGTTTAGTGCCAGAGAAAAAAATTGAATTTCCCCCTGATCTCCAAACCTATGTTGATTTTACATAGGTTAAGAGATAGCTCAAAATCTCTGAATTGGGAGTAATGCAACAAGCCCTAACGACCAGGGGGGTTAATTTTTTTCAGTAGGAGGTCTTATTATGCGTTCTCACAGTTTCGCCTTTTGATTTCTCCCCCCTGAAATGTGTATAGAGCAACCCTATTAATAGCTCTTGGTCGCCAGCTGCAATAGATTGACTACCCCTGCATATCATCAGCTCGAATTTAGTAAAGCCAGCATACATGTGACCTAGTTTGCGCAACTTTTGTCGCTGGGGCTACGGCAGTAATATTGTCAAAGCTAGTCTGACCAGAGATGTCAGATATTGCGGAAGTTCTTGCAAGGCATCCATGGAATCAATTAGACGGACAGTGGTTAACTTGCCTTTGCCTCAAAATTTACCCTCGTCAAGAGGCATCAAACTTTTTTCCCAAACTGTACAAACTATGGTACATGTTAGTTTTTCTTTTTTCCTGTTCAGGTCACATGATGGATATCGTGAGGAAAGTGATGGGCTCTTGGTACCGGATGGACCTAATTCCCGTTACGCAAGTCAGAAGGAAGTTTACGATGATCTTGGAAGAGGCATTCTAGACAACGCTTTTAGTGGATATGCTTGCTCCCTGTTTGCCTACGGTCAGACTGGCTCGGGCAAGTCCTATTCCATAATGGGCTATGGACCTAATCGGTTGGTTAGCATCACAGCCTCACTTACAACATAATTTTACAGTGGCATTGTTCCCATTGTTTGTGAGGAGTTATTCAACCGAGTGCAACAAAATACGGACCAGAAACTGGTTTGTTTGCTACACTGCCTATTGACCCCTTATCATATGCCTAGACATTCCAAGTCAGCTTTTCAATGCTAGAAATCTACAATGAACAGATACGAGATCTACTCAACACATCCAGTTCTCAGAAATCTCTTCAACTGAGGCAATCGCCTTCAATGGGCTTCTATGTGCAAGGGTTGACACAAATTCCGGTCGGTTCCTACAAAGAAGTAGAACAACGTATGAAACAAGGTAACTATTTTAGATTCATGCGCTTATCTGCATGCCAATTTGGCTTTAATGAGGGACTCACGTATAATTCAGCTGAATTCCTCGTTTATGATTTGCATCTAAACAAGGTAACTTCATGTTTTGACTTTAACCATATTGTACCTGAGATATGAATTCGGAACAATGAGCCTAGAGGAACTCTCATTGGTAGGCTCTATCTACACACTGGTTTGCTTTTTCCACTTTGGTGACAAGTCATAGGCGCAGACACTTTTGTGGTAACTTTTCTGAAGTACATACAACGAGTGCAGACACTGTATCCTTGTGTGGACCCAGGAGAATACGATCTTTGAGAAAAGAAAAACCAACCAAATGATGGCCCATGGTTGTCAACTGAGGTGAGAACAGCTGAATATTTGGATTACGGAAGAGGTGGACAGGTGACATGCACAATCAGTGAGTCACCTAAGGAAGATGCTTTCAAGATAACTCGTTCGCTTGCGCTGACATTATGGTGGCTTTTCCCGAATCGCTTTTGCTTGGGCTCAGAGGATGATAAAATGATGGATTTGCAAGCTTCAAGTGCCTTTAATTGTTACCGTAAATAAAACCACCTATCGTAGCTGTGGTGACTACGATGCAATTCCACCTTGCACAAGAAGTGATAGAGCTGATTTATCTGTGCCTGGCTAGTCGATGGGGCATTTGGTTTGACAACCACTGTTTCGAAAACTTGAGCAATACAACTGTACATTTTGATGCACCGACTAACAACTTATCTGCAAACAAATGTGAGGCATAATACCTTTTTTGTGAACCCAGGTACCGCCAAAAGAACAATTGCAGCCACAAACATGAACGAGACAAGTAGTCGGGCACATACCTTGGTGACACTGACATTCGATCAACTGTATGGTGAAGTGCATTCGAACGGATCAAGGAAGCGCTCAGTCATTAACCTGGTTGATCTTGCAGGTGAGCTTTTCAATCATCTATGCGTATGTTCTCAAATTCTGACAGTGACAGTGGAGAAAAACGTCACAGCTCTGCCATGCTGGCTGCGTTTAAATGAAGCATTTTTCGAGGAGTGGACAGAAATCGTATTTTCGGGAACCAAGGTTAATATAGGCGGTGGTCTAACAAGACTTACTGTTGCCGGCAAGCCTCTATGCTCCCTAAGTCACGTACAGTTTAAGTTTACACGGCGATTCATCTTTCAGCAGATGGTTGTGTAGAGGTACAGATGTGCACGCACACTTTCTGATAGTACGGTGAACGCTTGCACCTACGTGATTCCCCTCACAATATTGGTATTCTGAACTAAGCGTACATTAGTACGACGTCAGTGCTAACAACAAAGCGCTCCTAGTGGATTGGATTACGATATTGTTGAAGGTGATGCTAGAGCCTCTGATAATGACGATGAATGCGACGATGATGAGCTTTGAATTCAGTAATCGGGACATTGATGGCAGTAATTTTATTCACTGAGAATTTGAAGTTTACTGTGCAAAAAACATACTTTGATGCTTTTGAATTTGACAGCTCATCATCACCTCTATTCTAGTGATAAATATCCGTCTTATTAGTTAATCAATGCATTTGAGAAAACACCCGTGCTTTGAAGGAGTCCTCTCGTGTGAGAACCTCACGATTCTAGCATTCTTGAAAAACCCGACAAAAATGTGTAAAGTTTGAAGGGGCTATACTTTTAAAAGAGGTATTATGATGGAAGAATTCCTAAGATTTAGTAAGCATCGCTGCAGTATAGGGACGATTCATGGAGGTCCGCCCGAGCTGCTTTAAGTTGCCTGCTTCTTTGGTCACTCTCCTGAATATTCGAATAGCCAAATGGTCAGCAAATGTAAGTATTCCAAACGTACTATTGACTAGGTTCCGAGAAGGCTGGACAAACTGGAGCTACGGGTGATCGGTTGAAAGAGGGTGCCAACATCAACCGCTCTCTTTCGGCCCTTGGGAATGTCATTTCCGTAAGGATGTTGTCCACATCACTCATTGTTGTTGTTTTCTATTGTGAGCAATATTTTTGTGCACAGTTTCATTTGTTTCGCGCCGTTTGTATAAGCGTTTGTCGGTGGATCCCATAGAAAATGGAGAAAGTGCATTTGAATAGAGGGCTTTCATATTTTTCGAAATAGAGAAAATATTTTCCCAATTTTGTTAGACCTCATCTATGTTACCAACTGGTTACTTTATGTGTGATTTTATCCAACCTATCAAAAAGACATGAGCTGGTAGTTTCTGGACAGGAAAATTCGTTTTCTTTGGTAATTTGTGCACCTAATATGACAGTACAGAACACTGGAAAAATTACTTTTTACCTAACCAGTTATATTTTACGGGTCAACGTTTTCTTGCAGTAAGTCCTGTGTCAATTATTAGCTTTTTCAAGTGTTCTGAACATTCTGGATTTAGCTGTTGCACAGTCCTAGACCTATTAAAAATACAACTCAAAAAACCTTACAGTTTCGTGTTGTACCAGTAAAATCTCCGTTGTGGTAAGCTTCAGCCACTATTCAGAGTGGCATTTAAGGATTTTACCACATTGGCTAGTAATTTTTCCCCATTTTAGGCACTCGCCGATGGAAAAAAAGTTGTGCCTTATCGTGATTCAGTGCTGACGAAGCTTTTGCAGAATGCCCTTGGAGGAAACAGGTAAATATAGACCTACTTGATCTGTAAAATTAGCCACCAGCTTCATGTTGGTCAGAAATGATCTATTCACCTAGGTTGTAAGGCCACTTTGAGGTTTCGTCGTGTGCAGCAAGTCGATAGATCAATAGAATGTAGACTGCTGAAAGGACGTTGTCAAAACCTTGCCCTGCTAACATTTGAAGTTGTGTCTGACGTAGTGAGCTTCTAGTGAGTGCTATCCCATATTAAACGCTAATTCTTTTTCGCCTTTTTCTTCTCAAACGCAGCAAAACAATAATGATTGCGGCCATCTCACCAGCTGATATAAACTATCAAGAGTCTCTATCAACCTTGCGCTATGCTGATCGAGCGAAGCGAATAAAAAATAAGGCCATTGTCAATGAAGACCCAATGGAAAAACTCATTCGTGAACTGAAGGTTGGTGTCTTTCTGCTTATTTCTTTTTTAGCTTTTGTTGAGTGTTGGTGTTATGAGTGAAGTGCTTTTGTGAATATGTAGTGGTTCGTATTGTGTTAAGTGCGTGGACACGCTTGGTGGCTAGCTGGTGCATTTTTGACCAGTAGTGCAACAAATTCGTGGGCATTGGGGATCATTCGACTCAAAAATCCTCTGTAGTTTCATTGCCAATACACTAGGATTGCTCTTGCTTGGTCCATCAAAGGTTGTATTACTCTTTACAAGCTTTCTAGTCGGACCAGAGGTCCTTTTTCGGTGCATATTTTGATGTTTCCTCCTCAGCACGGACCAAAGTGTCATCTTCTTCACTGGTTCGGGCTGCAGCTAAGCAGCCATAATTTCCTAACGGGCTCTGGTGTCAAGTTTGATTGATTCATATGATTTTCTTATGATTGCACAACGTTAACACCGCGTATGAGGTGAAGAAAACTGTCACGAGCAACCCTGCTGGCTGTACTTGGAAATCCCATCTTTTTGAGCCCATTCACACGCGCGCGAGGTCTTAAAATCCTCTACCTTTTTTGGCTCAAGCATCCGCTTCTTTAAATTCATATGCTACTTTGTTACAAATGCTTGAGAAGAGGAGCATTTGAATCTTCTCTCCAAGATAAGCTATCTTTGTTACGGATGGCCTATTATACCCTAACTACAGCGTGATGTTCATTAGATGTTCATTAGTTTTTCTTCACGGGAGGTCAGTTTTCCGAATGGAGCACTTTTACTTGGTTGGCTCACTACGTCTTTCCGGGGGATAAATTCATTTTAAAATGAGACAACTAATAAATGGATTTCAAACAAGAGGTTTGTTCAGCGATGTAAAACACATCACTACGTCAAAAGGTTTTAAAATCTGAAACAATTTTAAGCTTCACCGGGCTACACAGTTTTTTGGGCACTGCAAAATAATCAGCTGGTGGCGTTTTTGTCCGATTCCGGACCAGCACGCATTGACCATTTTATTCTTACAGAATAGCCACACTGAGATATTGTGTTACTACCTCACCCTAGAGAATCTTTTTCTTACTGTATCCGTTGTGATCAAAACACCATTGTCTAGTTACTTCAGACTTTTGTAAACTTTTATCACCTCAAACTGTCTTGATAGAGGTTTTGATAAATTTTACTCAATTCGATGCACCACCCTTCTTCATTGCTTCCACTGTGTACCTAAAAACAGGAAGAAAACGAACGTCTTAAGTTGTCACTACAGTCTTCGGAGCTCCCACCTAATGTGGACGGAAGGAACATTTCCCCACAAGGTAAGCAGCTGACTTTTGTTGACATATTTGACGGAAGAAATGGAGAAACTTCGAGTGGAAATGCGTGAGGAACTAATGGCTCAAATGAAAGCCAATATGGCCGAAATCGAGTCCCAGAATCAACAGGCATTCACTACGAAGGTAAGGCAGCAATGGAACCATCATTGTCACCATAATTAACTAGTGTGTGAAACCACCTCAACCTCGATGACCTAGAACCCTGTAGTTCACTATACTCAATCGTTCCATTTTCCCCGTTGATATTTCTGAAACCGGTTTTCGGTTCTGTCAATGGGAAAAACCGTGCTATTTCGCTCCTTGTATATCGTTGTCTGACTTTCCTAAGACTGCTTCAATTTCTCTGATTTCCGTCAGCCCAAACTGCCTCAGTCAGTATGACTATGACCAGGTTGAACGGCTGGTTAGTTTCAAATGAATACAAATGCCATTCATTTAGGTCAGTTCTTCATCGACTCCTGCTTAGACAAGTGATGCTCAAATCGTACACCACAAAATACTAGTCGGCTTTGATTATGTGTTACATTGTTTGCTGAAGGTTGCCGGTCATTTCTGGTGACTATTGGAATCCAAGTTCCATTCATGTTGATCCCACTCAAACTACCTCGGAGTTCGTTTGAGCCTGTATAAGAAAAAAATGTGAAATATACAGTGATGATTTGTGATTACATTTTCCTTTTACTGATAGTTTTGACAGTCTGATTCAACTGCATCCCCGTTCCAACTCACCAGAGAATATCGCTTCTTCACAATGTTATTCCGGATAGCGCAGACCTACGTCGTTTCGTACTTATCAACAGGTGTAGCTTAATCTAGTAGGCCACCTCTTTTGTGACGCCCCATCTTGTTCGATTCAGACTTGTTAGTTGGAATCTTACCTAGTTAGACATCCACATAGGCCTGTATACCTCTTGCTTCTCATATATTGTGTAGCCCAATACAATTGTCTTCCTGGACAATAGCAGTCTGAAAGCTTTAACCGTGTCCTACAATCGGATTAGGTTGTGTTATGGTGTACCAAACGAATGACATATCACTAAGCTGCCATGGAGACCGCGCTGCGAAGCACCACATGCGCAATGAATGTTCGTACCGGACGGCATAAAAATAAAGATTCCTGTGTCTTCACTTTTGTTTAACTAACTGCTCTGTTCTGTGGTTATGAGTGATCCGAGAACCTATCTGTTTTTGACAGGTGGATTTAAATATTTTTACGATAAACCGAACCACTGTAATGAGCGTTTGCGTAGGGTTTCAGGTCTTAATCCTGTGCACTTGGTTTCCTTTTGATTTAGCGGTTATGGCCTTTTATTAATTTAAAACATTGCTTCATTTGAGACGCGAAGATTAGATTACTTTTCATTTAGTTGATTTCTTCAGATGTATTTCAACAATGTGTTGAAGTTCAGGCGATTCTTCATGGCAGTCTCTTTGCAGGGATGATCATTCGCACAAGTAACTGCACATTAATACTTTCTCCTGCTTGTTTTGTGCGCCAACGGTCTCGTCACCGATTGGCGACAAAACGCGCGCAGGCTTGAAGAACAACTCAGCAGTCGCCAGGCCAGTAGTCAATAAACGTAGCACAATTATCAGTTACTCAACACATTGTTAGTGCTCTCTTATTTGTGCGCCAACCAGCTCGTGTAGCAGCCTCCATATCACGACGCACAGAGTAGATTGTGATATCCTAGTTTTTTCTGATAAATATGGGTAATACTCACGAAATTTTTTGGTGTGGCTGTCTTGTCATTTATGTGAAGCGAAGGGGTGCACTGCTCGACTGAGCAAGGATTTCATACAGTCCGGAATAGATGGGAATGACAAATCGTTCCAACTGAAGGGGGTTCGGTTCTATGGACTAATCAGGAAACAACCGATAGGACGTTGGTTTCCTGTTTAGCATTCAGCGTGCCACTGATGGCATTTTTCTGCTGTGCTTACGAAAAGGGCCCAAATATGTCGCGCTTGAATTAAGCGCGTTGAGTTTCGGTCTAGTGACCTGGACAGCAGATGTTTCCCACAGGAAAGGTGACAAAACAATTTGACATACCGCCGTGATCCACTAAAATAGGGCACTTCATATATGTTTGGTTGTTCAATATTTCAGTCGAATTCTTTGAGTTCACCACTTTTTTGGTTCAGTAAAATTGTTTTACAAGTTTATCAGTGAAGGAAACGCTCACAAGCTTTTAACTCTCCCTAAATAGCAGTAACTGATAGTGGTGCAAAGTGAGTGGCTAGTGCTAATTTGACTGTGTGGTGTCTGGCAAAAAGGCTTATTGCGTAACTTATTCTAGTTAGATTCGAATTAATATGTTTAAATCAAATATATTCAGCGTGAAGTAATGATCTTACCTTTGTGATGAAGGAAAAACGGTCAGAGTCAATTTTTTGAAGCGCATCAAGCATGGTCCATGTGGCTCATTTAAGCTTGGCGTTATGACACTCACTCATGGGGCACAATAAACATAGTGTGGTACAGAAAATTATCGGTTGATCGAAGATATGAACTACAAACTAAGTCGCCTGTTGATCGGGTTAGCTGAGGCAATGGGTTTTTTGGAGAGTTTTCTGGAAGTTTTCTGTCGAATATGATTACCTTCATCCATTTGAGAATGGTACTGCGTGTGCTAATGAGTTAGATGTAATCATTCGGGTCTTTCGGACCACTGCAGTTCAGACAATAAAAGGGCAGAAAATTTGAACAACTGAGGAATCCAAGTTGGTCAGAAACCCGATTCTGGTTCAAACCCACCAGTGTTTTGCCGTACCAAACTGAAGCTTCGGTACAAAATGAATGATGCTTGTCCAATTGGTCTAAGTACAGCTCCACTGAATTCGGCAACTATTGTTCAGGTATTTTCTTTATAAGCTGTCAATGAACTGGAAACGTGATGCGATCGGTGAGAATTAGGGACCTGAGGGAATTTGTCACCGCGGAAACATGAGCACCAAAAACGTTGCACAATTGGCCAAATATACTCATTTGCAGATCAGGTGTGTGCCATTTGAATCCCTTGTTCATGGTACTAGTCAGCTGTGTGCTGCGCAGTTGCTGCTGCTACTGAATGTTTCACCTTGCAAGACATCCGCGATATCGTAGTGCAATGTCATGAAAACTCTACGGCATCCCACTATCGGTTTTGTCTGACTTGAGAAAGATAATGCACTCCTTATGCAGCACATCCAGTAGAAGAATAACGTGAACGAGAGAGTCGAGTCTCTTAATTTGCAAATGAATGTATTTTATCAGTTGAGTGAAATTTGTCAAAATCCAGAACCAAGCGTTGATGGAAGCTTGGTGACTTAGCCCGTCTGATCAGCTGGTAGTGGTCTGTCAAATGGCGTTCACCAACCTTAAAATAGTGTGTTGTGTCAAATTTCATGAGTCTACTTGTCACCAATTTCTCAAAGCCACACTAAGGTTGTGAAGTGGACTTTACCATGAACAGAATTTCCCCGAATGTCCTTAGGCACGTTCATCTTCTAGATGGTGGGAATGGGGTTTTAGGCCACAAAAAACCCTTTTTTCACCCCATATACTGTGAATTTTCCCTCCGTCAGCCGGAACCGATGGTATTTCAAGCAATGTAGATAGCTTTGACCGCACCTTTCAGCGTTAGTGAACGACGTTTTCTCCCACTTTTGATCGTATGGTCACCTGGTTCTCTGCTCTATTGGTATATTAGTCGGCCTGTGAAATATTATCTCATTCGGATTTTTAAAGATCGAGAACACCGCAGTACTTTTTGGGTAAGCTTCATTCCGAATACAGAGTAATATGTCTATTGTATAACAGTGACGAAAGTAATCGGAAGTTATCTTGTGTCGGGCAGAACGCCCAGTACTTTTGTGGATTGACAGCCCATGATGAAACAAAGGTATGGGATTTCTAGTAAATTTGCGCCTGATCTCTTACTGGCAAAATTGAAAAGGGTGAACCGTGAATAGCTTCTTATCCTGAATGAACCTGGAAAGAACTGTCACTTGACAGCTGAAGAAGTGAAGCTGCAAACCAGCCAGAGTCACATTTTCATTCCTGAGGGTTTCTACTACACAATGAATCCGCTAGAAGTTCTTCAGACACTTCTATGGCACACATTCCGTTATCACGTGGCACTTAAGGTGAAATTTCTTCCTTCGATCTTATTCATAAGTGTTCTGGACACATTCACGTGTGGCCGCTTTTTGTTGGGTTTTGGAAGGAATTTTTCATGAAGCATGGCTGTACAAAATTGTCTTACTCGAATGTGGGAAACCTCATAGGCTTGAAACAATAACAAAAGAAAGAACCTGGCCGTTGTACTTCATGAATCTCCCAAGCCCTCAGGAACACCTTCCCGAATTCCTTTTGTCACCGATGCCATTCCTGTGAACAATACTTCTACAAATGTACGCTGAATTCAGGGATCAAATACGCAACGTTTGAATATGTTTTGTTACATGCTTCCCAGAGTTAAAGCTCATTACGCCAAAATAGTCACTCATTTACTTTAAGGGGCGAGTTTCCACTTGTTCCAGTGTCATGTAATCTGAGGCGTTAATGATTAATGTCTGAGTAGAACAAAATGACGTCCTGTCTATCGCACAATTTCCCAAGCGCTTTTGTATGCTGTGTGATAATCCATTACTATGCGCCGGAATATGCAAGTACCATTAGTAATCATTCCCCACTTCGGTTGCTAGTTGTTCGAATGCGTCACTGAAGTGGAGACTCACTGGCTTGGTTGAACCGTAAAAGGTTTCGAAGTGTACCCTATGTCAGCTGATTGGGTTTGTAGTGAGGCATACAAATTTATGGGCATATACACAGTGCATCGAACATCTTAATGTCAAGTGACATGGCCGCAAGTTTGTGTACGTATCAGTTCAGTTGAAATCCGGAGTCCTGATGTCGTCGAACCTCCGACTCGCTCCGGATTTTTCATTGCAATTTACCTCATAACAAATGAAGACACCAAACGAGTACTAAGCGGTAGCCTTTTCAACTGCAGAGCGATAGTAGATTTGAAGCGGGTTTCACATAGAAATCCATGATTTCAAAAAGTTTACCCGACTCGAAGCATTTTTTGGCTTCTACGTAGTACCTGTCATTGCGGTTCGAGATATGTCCCCCATGGCTATTTTAAATTTTATTATTGTGCTTTCGATCATGAATCCCAGATAACACCCAATGCCCTTATATTTTCTTCTACTAGGTATTCTGACGGGTAAAGGATTTTTAAAATTTGACTTCCAACAATTGAAACATTTTTGGCAAAAATTTGAGTTTGTCTGGTTATCCGAATGGTTACACATAATTTGATTTCCAACAATTGGAACATTTTTTGACCAAAATTTGAGTTTTCTGGCTATCCTAATGGTTACACATAAGCAAAAACCTTTTAAGGCAACAAACCTCACCAACTGCACTAAAGCGCTAGGCTCTGAAAACTGACAACACATCTTGATCAATGAAACATGACATGATATTAGACGTCCAGTTGGCCTTCCAGTTGATCAGCAAATTTCGACCCACTTCTGTATTGTAATTCTCTCATCCCCTTACAGCTGGAAGCTGCCAGGAAAGAAGCTGCTGAAATGGCTATCCGTTCTACGGCTCAAGAAGACAAATCTGGAGGCACAGTTAAAAACAAGCCTTATTTGGAAAATCTTAACGAGGATCCTCAGCTTTCTGGGATAATTAAACATCTACTGGTTCACAAAACGGTAAGTTAATTTACTTGCAAAAATAAGTATCTTTCAAATTTAGTCGTGCTGACTGGGCACTGGGAACTGAAAAAGTGTCATCTTACTTTCAGTCAGTCTTTCATGATTTTGAACACAAATTCACAGAACTGGTACGCTATGTCGACCAGTCAGTCATTTCTTTGAACTGTAAGTTTCTTCAGACTGATGCGTACTCACGTAAATCGGGTGCATGGGATCTCTCAATGATAAATATAGAGATAATTTGCTGACTGGTTGACCCAATTGCTAGACTGTCCGGTATACTCCAGTGTGCCTAGCTTATTTCAAGCGTGCCTAAGATGGCCGATTCGGTCTTCTGATAGATCAGAACCGTTGAAATTGCAATGATTCCCTATAGAATAAAGCGTCAAATATGTTCGTCCGTACCTCCGCTTTGGTTCTTGTGCAGGCAAATGGTAACGGATTGGCCGCTTCTTTAGTCTTTTTTTCTTTTAAATCGGTCTTTATTTGGCTATCTCTATGGTGGTGTCGTAGCACTGAGATAACATGAATGCTCATTTATGACTTGGACTCCCCGCATGCTTTCCTAGACTTAGCATGACCATAGTCTGACATGCCCTGATCTTGATGACGATTCTGTGACCAATATATGTTCTGGTATATCTTGACTTGTGTTATGATTCTAAACTTGTGACAAGGGTTTCGGAAGCCAGTCTGCAATTTAGGTCTATTTTCCAGGTTACTATTTTGCTTCACCTTCCAAAGTGGCATATAATTGGAATTATCTTCTGTTTCCGGTGAATCCCAACCATCTCCTTGTTGGCAGGAATAACTACCTCTATCAGTGCCCATTATATATACATTCGGCAAAACATGAGGCAAAAATTATGGTCCCAAAAAGCCCCATATTACTGAGCTGCCGTTGCCTTCTAATTAACCAGAAAACCATCATGGACTAACCCGGAGGCAAGGATGTTTGGGACCAGTAATTTTGGGTATTCTTCTCTTCGGTCCGCACAACTACTCTTTCATAACAGTGTGATCACACGTGGCGACAGATAACATCAGTCTGGTGTGTACTTTACTCGCATCAGGCACTAATTCTTTCATGCATCACTTCAGTTTTCAATGTGTTGTTCCTAGATTTCATGTCTTGACATGCATGCGAGCCAGTTCCACACTAGAGACCTTGGAACCTTAACTCCAAAATGGTGCTACGATTGCAGTGCTATAACTGATTTTGTAGTGACCGAGCTAAATAAATCCTGACGTCAACTAAACATGAATGTGTGCCTTGTGTGCGTCTCACTAATAATGCCAGCGAGAGGTCACTGTGAATTACGAGTGTTTAGTTATACCCACTTGTTTAGACAGATATGGGCTAGGAAGTGAACGAGCTGAAGGCTAAATAGCCAACCCTCCCGTTGTTGGTTCTCCGGTTTGCTTCCCTCAGACGAACACTAGGTAAAGGGTGGTCGGTTGGTTGTACACGCGGCTCGGTCCAAGGTGAATCTGTCATTACTGATTTTGCACACGTTTTCACCAGCGTAGTTTCATGTGTCAATGCCGCTATCAAAGTTCACAGAGACTCCAGTTTTCTTGAGAGGAGCTTTCCAGAGTCAGTCTGAGTATAATTCAGTTCACGATAACCGTTAAGATCAAGTCTAATTATTTCCTCTTCCAGACCGGATTTGGACGTAAGCCACCTGCCGAACAGGAAGTCAAGAAGCAAAAGGTGCACTGGATCACTATCCAAGGGCTGGGACTTGCAGACCAACATGCTTTTCTGATTCGACATGGGAAGTCTGGGGCGGAAATTGAAATTCGTGTTGCTCCAGGGGCAAGTAAGCTTACGAAAGTCAATGGTATTCCGCTCAAAGAGTCAACAATCCTAAAGAACAAGGACCGTGTACTTTTTGGTAAGCTAAATTACATGCTTCCCAATTGCTTCCAATTGTTTAAAATACACTGTAAAGGACCGACAACAGGAGCTTTTATTCACAAGTCTTATTCTCTAAACTGGATTTCTGTCAGAATACCCTGGCACAGGTTGTTTCGCTCTTGCCTACCACTGATGCCTGGTATCTGGACAGTAGCAAGGATACACCATCAACTCAACCTTACAAATCCACATTTTGCTCATCTCGGATGTCTAACTATTGCATTTAGAAATATGTACAATCAGCAATGGCTCACCCCATCCCATCCAATAAACAAAACTAATAATTGCCTGTTCTGCGACCTGTAGGATACCGATCGGTGTTGCTGTTATTTAGTTTGACTGCGGAAGTCACCCTGAGTAATTAATGACGATCAGCACTATTGTGAGTTCAAGATAAGGCGGAAAACACGTAGGTAAAGCCATGGGTGCACTATATACACGCGGCCAAACAGGTCAGCGAACAACTGAGTCTCATGGTCAGTCATCCCACAAGCAGTTCTCTGATGAACTGCAAGTTAGACACGCACGCGTGCAAACCAACGGACACTCATCCAGTCAGGCACGCCAGATTGGCGGTGGAATGTGGAACGGACACGCACACGCGCACGCGCAAACTGACACATCGAAGCGGCCACTACAAGCTTGATGACGGAACGCACTTATCACTGGGCTCCAATAGTGCACCGTTATTTTAAAGCAGTATTTGCGTGTGCTCACATGTGAGAGCTTTATGAACGCAGAGATTGAATTCCAGAGTAGGAATCCCTGGCGTGCTGAAGGAGATTGAATCCAGAGTAGGAATCCCTGGCGTGCTGAAGTGAAGTACCTACTTCGTAAGACTCATCTACAGTAAGCTACTGTCTACAAATTTCGCGATTGCTATCCTTTACTCCGGCAGTCATGGGTGTAGCTAAATGCACAAGAAGTATGAAAAAGGAATCATTCTTTACGGCGGATAAATGAAACTCATTCAGGCGTTGGGATCGAAGTGAGAAATTATTGACTGTCGTTTCACTGCGTCGGTCTAGCCCGCGGAGGGGATAACACAAGTATTATGGTTGCTTTTATCGAATTTTCCACCCCTTGTTCTCATCCCTTTGTTCGGTCAGGTTTTTATGTGACCATACACATAACTCAAGCTTTTTGCCTAATTTACTTAGCCTTCAAGCACTATTTTACACCTCTCCATTTTCCTTTGCCTTTTGAGATATTCTAGATCATGTGGCTATTAGTACATTGTTGCACACCAAACTCCGAACTTAATCACTTAATGAATTTCCTCTTTTTGATTAAATTCAGCTCGTTCTACCTCTGTGTGATCCGCAACAATGAACAGAAACTGACAAAATCCAATGCTGATTTCCGTTTTCACTCATCTTTACGATCAAGCATACAAATATACGGAGAACTTTGAGACCCCTCCTTATAGAAAGCCCATTGCAGCTTTGAATTTTCTTAAATTGGTTATGCATTTCTTCCTCTCCCTTGTAAACTTTCTCCGTAGATGAAGTACTTTTCACTCTTTTGAGACACAGGACAATTATTTTTTCAGAAAGACTCACTTCTTCTTCGGCCTATCCGGAAAGGCACTCCGGAAGTGAATGGGTTTAGTTTTTTTTTTGCGTCATCTGAGAAACTCGGTAGTAGCCAACGCAACCGATTTCTGGTGCTTCGTTTGGGTAGCCTAAACAGCACGACACACGGTGTGCAGCAAGTCGACAAAGCATATTATCAGATTTCCAGATTCATTTTCCCCTAAGCGAAAATTCAAAACGTGTTTTCGTACTCCCACGGAAAGTGTTGGATGACTGATTTATCTGAGATTTGGAGCCGTCACGTTAGGCCAAAACCGACCGTGAGTTATGGATTAACAAAGTATTCGGATTTTCTATTGAGTTTCAGCTCCCCCACACCCACTGCGGCCAATATTTGGATATAAGAAAATATTTTGCGGACCCATACAGAATTCACATCTAAAATTTCAGCAGATCAAGATAAAAACAAAAAATGGCCCTACGCACGACTGAAAGGGTGTATTTCCAGCAAACGGTCTACAGATCTATACCGATTCAAACAAAATGACATTATCATATACTCTCCCTAAAGAAATAGTATGTAACCGGCTTCATTAAAGTGTTTGGTAAAGAAAGTTCCAAAATTAAAGCAAGCGAAATCAAATGATACATCCAGTTGTAAACCTACCGGGCCAATCGTACGTTTTCGTGGATATTGCTGCTTTCATTTCCTTTGCTTTTGGTTTTTAGGATCCTACCAGCTGTACGTCTTTCATAACCCGTTGGACAGTTCGAACGGACAACACAATGCTGATCTATCAGATGAAGTTATAGACTGGGAATTCGCACAGAGAGAGTTGGCCAGAGCGTCTGGTATCGACGGCTTTGACGGAAAGCCGAAAAGTAAAGGTGAGATGGGAATTGTGGATATGAATATATTGGCTGTACTATACGCTGCTGGATACCATTAAAGTGCACTGCTCCTCAGGTGCGATGGACAGGTGGATTAACGAAATGACTGATATCCATTCGCCATTCCTATCTAAACATGCCTTTCCGAGAGCAGAAAGTGCACACTTCTACAATAGTTATAGATCGTGTTGAGGAAGGGTGTTTCTCTGATCTATTTTGATCAGCTGTCATCGCTTATTAGATATACCCAAAAGATGATATCATAGTAAACCTTTTTACCTGTTCGTTATTTAGTCTCCCACTATGGTGTCCTGCCTGCGTTTGTTTCAAGATTTCCAGGAGAAACCCGTTTTGCTGTGTTTGAGTTGCTCCATCAATCACTGGATTCACCGGATGATGAAACACCATCAAAGGTGTTCTCGAACTTCTTAAAGTTGAAGTTTCATCTCAGATGGGATTCCAGTAGCAAAAAGGGCTTCGCCACTTCACTTAACTTCCCCCCATATTTATAAATTATTGACATCTCTGACTACAAAATGAAGTGAAACCCTCTGAAATGTTTTGCAGACCGCGTCGGCCAATCTAGGCTACGTTATTTGATCGGTCCTATCAGATTGCTGCGAGAGCAACCATGGAATGCGCTACGAGGTTTTCTTTCTAGCACCACGAAGATCAGTTTATACTGAAACCGCAGTATCCTTGATTGTTTTCAGGATTTAAATGGTGGACGGAAGCGCTTTATCATCATACACTTTTCCTTCAGTTCAATTGTCCACAGCTTCGGACACCAGCTTCCACACCTCGCGGATTGGTCATTTTCAACCGGTCTGATCAATTTTCATTGCAAAATTCACTGCCGTATACACAGATATCCACATTCCGGCTTTCATTACATATACCTACTCATAAGGCTGATTGTTTCACTTTGTACTACTTTTCACCGGAAAAAGGTAGAACTCGTCACTGACATTTTTTCAGACTACAGCTGCATTCTTTCTCTTTCACGAAATTCCCGGTTATTATTTTCCCAGCTTATCTCCAATGAGGCAAAACCACGCCTCATGTTGAAATTCTCCAATTTTTTGGTGTCAGTACGTCCACCATGGTATGCATCCATTGTTAGTCTCAAGGAATTAGTTAAATTCTTGATGAAAAACACATGCGCACCGAAATGGCGTGAGATCCTACCCACCTGAGTCCAAAATGTCATTGTCTAAGCGACGGTGTCTAAGTGTTCATTGGAAAATTCATTAACTTGTGCTCTATACTGATATTTTGTCTGTCACTTTCCCAATCCATATAATGGCATACAATACCAGTCACTTTTTCCCACAAACATTGACAGGAGTGAGTCCACTGAAACCAGATGTCTCACAGTTAGCAAACAGCAACTGTTTAGAAGTATCCCATTTACAGCCAATCTACACGGTAATATCGTATCGTAATTGCCGTTTGCGATCTCCACAAGTTTCACAACGCCCTATGTATCCAATTGACTCGCTAACACCCCGATTTGTTGCCGTGGATTTCTCTGTTTGATGGAATATCATCGTTTGCCATGAGATTCTGTTGACATTCTGTTCCGCTACCGTGTGAGTTTTAAGCTTGCATTATGTGGGATCATTTGAACAAGGAGGCTTATTCTTCGTTTTTAGGAGTATTCAAGCTTACCTTCAGGCACTCAGACGTGATCCACTTGGCGTTGTTTCAAATGATACTGTTTTGGGGTCATGTTCTTGTGTCATGTTCTAAGGGGATAAAGGGATAATGCGAAAAAGTTGGATGGTTTTATCTGAGTGAGCACTTACTCTTGCTGGTCACGTACAGTGTTATATCTATATGACTGTGTCACCTGGGTTAAATTTTACAATGCACTTGCTAATGTGGCATTATGCGGTAAAAGACGTTTGCAGTTTGAACCTCGGAGTTGAACCCTCGAGGCACCGTTTATCGACCGTCGGCTACGAGTGTATTTTCAAATATTCTCCAGGAATTTATTGTAGGAGTTTATTGTAGGGTACACTAGATCCATTCATTCAAAACTGCCGTTGTTGAAAATCCCGAAGCTGTACGATGCCTGAAGTGCGCCTGCTGGGAGCTGTGTATTTATAAGACAATTTTGCATGTTTGTGTACACAGAAATGAAAGCTTCTTTTCGACAGAAGAAGCGCAATGTTTACCACAGAGGGATGGTTAATACACAGTTCAGGTTTACTGAACTGAATCAGTCATTAGCTAAAAACAGTAAGATAATTGTACTGATAAGTAGGATATAAGCTCGCCTTTTTGGCTGATTGTTGTTACTGTAAACCTCAAGTTTTGTCAGATTTTGAGTGGTGTAGAAAATACAGTGTCGCGTAAACTGACGTGTATCCATTTGACTCGCTAACACCCCTGAACTGGGGATTCTGGGTATATTCCGTTAACGGTGCTTAGTTGACACAAGAAACATCAAAAGACCTACCTAATAATCGAACTATCCGTTCTTTATTCTAAAGTAATTGAGGTTCTCTGAATAGGTTTGTGACCTCTGTCATGGTAAGCATAGAAGCCGATGGTAACATCGTGGCAACGAACATAGACTGTCACCTGGTGTCATTTGTCTCACGGTCTTACTTATTTCATAAAGCAAGGCAAATAAATGAATCTGAGCTGCTGCTTCTCCCAATTTTTCCATAAGCACTTTTCACATCACCCCATACAATGTCTGTGAATTACATTCTGCATAACAGTTAAGTACTAGTAACAACTGCCTGTGTAATGTTGCCTGTAACATGGATGAACTGTGCACCAACATGCTTCACAATTTGGCAGGATGGGAAATCTACCATCTTATTTTCTCTTCAATAGACCAGACATATCGGCTTTATTTTCTAACGCTATTTGCATTTGCCTTCAACGTGCATCACAGAGAACTTCTGTTACCTTACAAAGTTCAAGACGTCATATTCGACTGAAGAAAAATCCTTGAAGCCCACCTTAGAGATGTATAACAATTTACTTGAGTCAGTTCAAGTCAATAAAGGACCCATGCACGAAATTCCACATTTGACTTATAAAGATGGTTTGAAATATTTGTTAGTAGGAAAATGCGTTCTTTAATATTTCCCCCAAATCACGCTTGGTATGCGTGTTTCCGCAGCACTATCATGGTTAAATTATTGTCACACTCAGCTCACAGGGAGCTGGTTGAATTAAAAACACAATAGGACTAAAGTGGTTCCTATCCTTATTTGTACAAACCCTTAAAATAGGGTACGTAGCGAAAAAGCTCGCTTTCATTTACCAAAGAATTTCGGCCACGCAGGTGGATGACCATTAAGAGGTAGACTGCTACAGCATGCACTAGATTCTTATTTCAAGGATCAAGTTCTTTAATTTGTTACCTCATAGCCAAATTTTTAGTCAAATAAATTCGATCGTTTACCTCTACGGTGGATTTTTGAGTTAGACGGATTGTTTTTCCATAAAACAAACCAATTCTAAAAGACTACGATATCTACGTGGTACACTAGTCACAAGGTTACCGAGAATTGTTCGACTGAAACATAGAGTGTCTTGGTGCAGCACATTCAGTTGCTTAGATACGTCATAAACGAGAGATTCAGCTGGATTCCAGTTGGTTCCCTCGCAAAACCAAATTTGTCTGCAAATGAGTGTATATCACTGTGGGATATCCTTGGTGGTCGTTACATCACTTCGTCTGGATAAATTTGGAAGCCTTGTGTGACCGTTTTATGTAATAATACTTCTCACTACCTTCCCAACAGATGATATGATCATTCAGAAACAGTTGTTGGAGTTGATTCCAATGGTTGGAGAAGTGAACGAGATTGCTGAAGAACTGGACAAGGCGCGCAGTTTTGATCTGCTCCTAATTCCGCCAACGGCACAGGGACTACCCTATGGTGAAGCAGGTACAACCAAGTACGTGTGGTATTCTAGCAAGCGCGGTGTACATCACTGTGGGCACAGTATGATTATCTTCTCAAATGAATACAACAGCTATTTAATGTGTTTATCCTACAATTTGATATGAAAAACGAACTTCAACTTACCGTGTTTTTGGACCACAATCCAAACTCATTTAATTGTTATTGATAAGAACTGCGGGAACACAGTTGGTGCAACAATAGCAGTTCTTCTAATTCCCTCAGAGCCTAACACAATAATTCCGAAGAGAATAAGTAAATAAACGGCAATAATTCTATGATATTCTGTGATTTACAAAAACTGTGCGTAATGAAACAACTGGGTAGTCCCAACAAACTCAACACCCGTATAGCAACCACGAGGACAGCGGATACAGAATTTCACATGCATAACAACTTTGATTCATCCTTTTTGACGCAAAGCCGTGCACATTGCCACCTATTTTTGAACAGGTTGTTAGATGTGTCCGCTTCATATTCTATTCTATTCTTACAGGCATCTCCAAACCACTCGAAGCATTTTTCATGTAAGTAGACGGACATCTGTGACCAGGCGACAGTGCAACTGCTACTGTGCATGTAATACACTCTTATCCCAGAGATGGATCTTGTCTGCGCACAGTGGCCCATCTTTAGGTCTTAAAACTGCCTTTGAGGAAAAAACACTCAACTTTAGCAGAACTATGAAAAATCTGGGGTAAATTATGAAGTGACAGAGAGCTTGACTCCATGGTCGTCATTCGTCACCATCCCTAGAGTTTCACCCGTTTGATCTCCCAGATGATATCCGATGAATCGGAGCTTACGGTTAACAAAAATTCCTTCAGTAGAGCAATCGAAGTTATGCCGCTTCTTTGTCTCCGTAATGAAGGTTGATTCGGTTAGAAAGTCCCGGATTTCGCATCTGGCGCGTCTTCCATCCGACGGATATATACCCACCTGTAGCAGGACTGACGAGAATGTATTGATAGGCTACACTGGATAATTGTGAACTGACGTGGCGAAGCAAATGACGTTATAAATCTCTGTATGTACTTGGTATGCCTCAATTTTTGTTTTCGTCACAAAACTTCCTTTGGGCTGATTGCTAATGGCTCGATAATAGGGGTTCGCTTGCATCAAGGTGCACCAGATAAGCATTTAGATGAAGTCCACCTAGTAACAGACTAATGTGTGTATGGCAACAATAATAAATATGTTTCGTAAAAAAACGTGTCACAGAGTTTGGGTGGATACTCTGAAGCAGTTGTTGAATCTATGACTATGTTTGGATTCGGGACTGTATACATACAGGTTTCGTAAAAAACGTGTCACAGAGTTTGGGTGGATACTCTGAAGCAGTTGTTGAATCTATGACTATGTTTGGATTCGGGACTGTATACATACAGGATCATGGTGGGAAGAAACTTTTCAGGCAAGGCGAGTCGAGTGCACCCTACGGAATCCTCCCTCATCCTATAATTCGAAAGCCCGGGTATCTCCTATGATACCAGAGTGATTATGAAGGCTGCCGTGTCAGCTATTTTACGACCAGCTGAGTAAACTGCGATGCTTAAGTGGTTTTCTAAACCTTATACTTGCTTCAGGCAAATGAGTTGCAAATAATAAAGCGTGCTTATCTAGTAATGATATCAGTAGCGTACAAAATAATTATCACAGTCTTTCCTGTTTAAAGTCCAGCTCTCTACAGAGAGAATCAAGGTGGATCAGGTCAAAGTAGAAATTTCAGCGGCAAATTACCGGTGACTATGCTTTATTCACAAAGAAAGTGAGAGAAGTCCAAAATTTGTAACAGATGATCCTGTGATCAACTGTGGAATTGAGACGGATTTATATCCTCTTATTTCAAGATCCTTAACCCTTAGTCCGATGGTGCCAATTTGCGGCGAAAACCCTCTAGAGAGCTGTTTATTATGGTTATCCGCTCACTAGTTAAGAATGTAGCGGACTAGGACATTATCAGCGTGTTCGGATAAATTAACATGCAAAGTAACCAATACAAAATCACAAAGTCACAATAGGAAAAGAATGAGTAGTCAAATGGGGACTCACGAATGTGTAGATCCAATAGTCCACTACACCGATCCAAATGCAGTAACTGGCTGTGAAAGGAAATATTCACTTGTCGAAATTTCCCACAGATGGTTCCGCGTGAGTGATATATTCCACGGTAG